AAGCATTGTGTCAGCAGGCACCCTCCCGGTGACTTTTGGGGCAGGAGAGGGAAGACTTCTGTGTCTCCTGTGCCTAGGCCTGCAGGGCGGAAGCGAGGCCCAGGGGAAGAAGCACCTCCGCTTTGCCTTTGCTTTGTTTGCTGACCGTCTTCCTTCCACTCAGCCTTTGGTGCCTTAATTTAGCTGTGGGTTGGAGCGAGTAGATTGCGGCCAGGGAAGAAAGGCTGATTTCCTATTTACAGCGGGATCAATGGACTCGCTGGCCTGTGAAAGGAAGCGTTCAAGATAAACGGGCACAGAGCTACTTCCTTGGGCACTGTTCAAAGGCTCCCTCCATAATCCTGTTATCAGTGCTTCATATAAGTGACAGTCACCTTTCTGATGACCCTAATGCAAAAAAAGAGAGGTATTCATGTTTATGTGTGTGTGTGAAAGAAGGTACCTATCACCACTGCCACAGACATAAGTAACATTCCAAAAACAAGAAGATATTTATTCCAAGTCATTAAAAATTATTTTAATTATACTAACATTTTCTTCTAGTCTTCTGGTAGAATATCCCTAGGCTTGACATTTTCCTGGTCTTTCCATCCTGAAATGTGACTCAGACCCTGGGCGCCATATTCCCATCTTTCTCTCTGTCTCCCTGACAATTCGAGACACGTGCCTCCAGCCGCGGCTGCCCCAGGGCCTGTCCTTTGAGCTTTCCTGAGCAGCCGTGCCCTTCGTCAACCCTGCAGGGTTAGCTGGCTCACCTATCTTACCCTGAGAAAAACTAGATATAAATCATTCAGACCAATTAGACCTGACAACTTTCTTCTAAAATTTATAATAAAAAAGAACGGAGAAGAAAAATATAATGGGGACTACATTAACTTATAGCTTGTAGCTGGTCTAAACTTAAAAGAACTGTATAAGAGCAAGTAAAAAATGAATATTCGAGTAACTGATGTGATAATTCTCAGAAAAATAACACTACTTTGTTACTGCTGGCCATCTCGCTCATCTTCAGGCCTTTCTGATTATCGTGCATATGATCACTCACCAGCCAGGACAGGAGAAAAGCTATACACTTTGTTGCTTTTATTTGTATGTGATCAATACTAATGACCAAATTACACTTCAATCTTTGATGAGGTATAATTTATGCTACTGATAACTGGGAGCAAAATACTCCAAAGCTACTTGTTTCAATGAGTACCTTGTCTCATTATTTTTAACTTTTCTCTTCAAAATGCATACAATTTCAACATCACCTTCGGTAATAGCAATGAGCATTTTTTGATCAGCTTCTGACAAGAAGACTATGTGTTGGAAGAAACAGGAAAATAGAAGATACAGTACCTGCCCTTAGAGAGTTTATGGCGTGCCTGACAAAAGAACCAAATGTTCAAGAACAAAAATCAAAATACAAGGCACCAGCAAAGCAGCAAAGTGAGTGCTCCCGAACAAGCCTGTGGGACTGGAAGGGAGAGAGACATTCCTGGAAACACAGAGTCAAACAAAGGGAAGGCGACAAGGAGATGGCACCGCTCTTGGACCCAGACTGCGAAATGAGCAGCTCTAGTTAGTAACGAAATAAAGGCGCATCAATTTGTTGAAAATGAATAGTGGGAAAGTACCGGCATCCTAGAAAGGAAAAGCGCCGCGTGAAAATAGATGAAGAGGGAAGTGATGGGCCGCCCCGGTGGGGCCAGAACCAACACAACAAGCAAGGCTGGGAGATTCCGGGCTCCCACGTCTCAGGAGGGAGGCATCGATCACGCAGTGCGACATTCATTGGCGTCACCAGCTCCCGGAACCGCGCATATCTTAACATCGGCACAATTTATTGCCTAATTATTTAGTTTGCCCTTTCAAAGAGTCCGCACCCAGCACTCTTTCTGAGAGGGAGCACACACAAGACGTGGGCGCTTGAAAAGTCGTCTCCCCCATTGCATTAAACGCGAAATAACCTTTTATCAAATGCTTGGTGGTCAGTTAGAATATTGAATTTGTATTTTAATCATTGAGTTCAACAGGAAGATAGCCAGTGGGAAGGACTTAATTACAAATGGTCTTTCTCATGCTGTCCCAAGAGGCTCTTTAATGAAGTTCCGAGCCCTCAGACAGAAAAGGTCAAATGGCTTTGCTCCCGGGGGCCTCAAAGTGCACAGAGCTGAACCTTTATCTTAGCAGATGTTCAACCAGGTATAATATTAGCCCAGGGCAAAAATTCCAGGGAAGCTGAGTTCCCAGGCAAGCAGTTCTCTGGAATTCAGCGGATGGTAAAACAGCCTGATTTAGAGTTTAAAGAGAGGATGAATTTAGATAATTTCCATTTGAATATAAAACATTTTATTAGGACAGTAATATGCTCCTAGGACTTTTTGACTCAACATTAACCCAACACATAAAAAAAAAAAAGAAGCTTCACAATAGAATGTAAAATTAGACAAAAGATAACTTTAAATAATTAACCAAAGGGCTCGTCAACAGATAGCTCAGTGAACTAAAGCCCCTGCTTAGGCAGGCTCAGAGACCAGGGTTCGATCCCCAGCGTGCCATGCCAGCCCCACTCCCTGGGGCGCGCTGAGATGGCACTGAGACTGTAATCCCAGTGATTGGGAGGCTGAAAATGGGAAGGATCACTACGAATCCGATCTGTGTAGTGAGACCTTGTAGACCCTGTACTAAATACATAAAATAAATAAATAAGCAACCATCAGTTGAATCAAAAATCAGAACAAAACTTAGAAACACACATGCCACAGCGGATAAATATTTGTGATTAGAAAGGCTGAAGATTTTCCAGCAAAGACTTGGTAACTCACTGGACAGCCCTACTAGGGCAGGCAAGAGGGGAATTAATCACCATGGGGAAGGACTGGCAGGTTGACCTCTGCCAGTATAGTGGTAAGACACTGTCACTCTTTCTAGAAGCCTGTCTTAGCTACTGGAGTTATACCTGAAACTGGAAAAAGGTGTTGGGCCACTCACTAGTCCACCCAGAGCACTTTGTTCACCTCTCTTGGCGCCCTGAGTAGTGGAGATCTCCAGCCGTGCAGTGAGGTCCCAGAGCGCCCCAGCCGCCCTGAGCCTCTACCTTCCAGGGCACCCACAAGTTACTGGCAAGAACCAGATGGAAGGCCTGCTGCCAGGTAACTTCACAGCCACCCAGTGCCAGCCTCGCCTTCTACTGCTTCATTGTAAGATTTGTAGTGTATTTGTTTTTGCCTCTCTTTACATTCTTTAAAATATACACAGCCCTAAATATTTTCAAGAAATAGCATAGAAAACGCTTTCATGGATGAAAAGCGATGTTCCCAACTTTTACCAGCAGATACTGAGGGCCTACCTGAATAGCCCTCTCAATAGGCGCGCAATTAAGAACTTCAATCCTAGAACTTTCAGTGTGTTGCCTATGTGGGAAACAGAGAAAAAGGAAAAGGGGTTGGGTAGAGACCAAAAAAAAAAAAAAGGGAGGCGCGTTGCCCTAGGGTGCAAATGCCACGGGGGTGTTCGGCTGAAGGTTCCTCTCTAGCTATTTCATTCCTAATATAACCGTCTTGCTGTAAGAGGGCAGCGTTAGGTTGCTTTTGGGGCAAAGCTTCTCTTGGGAGCGCGTGCGGTCTTGGGGACCTGGGACCCCAGCCGGAGAGGCTGAAGCTGGGAACTACAGGAAGGCGGGAGAGGAGAGGCCCGCCACCTCTTTCTGTCCGGCTGGGGGGCTTCTCTGGGCTTTTTCCAGCCTCTCCCCCAAGATCAGAGGACAGCAGCGATCTCTGCCACAGGGACGATCTCTGGGACAAGAGCGCCACTCTCTGCCCCAAGCCACGGATGCGCAGCCCGACCAAGCCCCAGCCCGCTCCCTACCCCCGACCCCTGACCTGACCCCCAGCCCCTGACCCCCCAGTCCCTGGCCCGAACCCCGTCCCTCCATCCCCCTCCAGCCCCCTGCCCAGGTCCTGCAACCCGCCCCTCCCCCAATCCCCTGCTCTGGGTCCTGCACCCGCCTCCCAGTCCCCTGACCCAGAGCCCCTGCCCTAGAGCTCCTGTGCCCCTCAATCCCTGGTGAGCCCCACTCCTGGTCCCCGCCCTGGCTGGAGGACCGATGCACTGCTCTCAGTCAGCCACAGCCGGGCCTCCAGGCATCTCCTGCAGCCGGTGCCTCCTGCCCGCCTTTCCCTTTCCCCGGCTCCATCAAAGGCCTCTCTGTTATTGAAACACGAAGCCGTTTCCTCCCCAAACCTTGGGCTCCCCAAGGCCTGAATCAATGGTCCTATGTGCTCCCCCTTATAATAAATGTGTTTGTTCAGGAGGCGTCTTTCCCGTGGTTATTTTGGGTAGAGGCCTGAGGTGTGGCGCGCAGGCGTGTGTGTGTGTGTGTGTGTGTGCGCGCGCGCGCGCGCGCGCGGGCTTGGTGTGTCTGGTGTGCTTAGGGTGTATGGCAAGGTGTGTATGGTTGTGGTGTGTGCGCATGGTATCTGGTGTGTGTTTGTGATGTACGTGTGGTGTGTGTATGTGTGTGTGGCGTGTGTGTGCTGTGTGTGCGCTCTCTGGCATGTGCGTGTGCTGTGTGCGTGCGTGTGCGTCCTCCCTGCTCACAGGGCTCCACTCCGGGTGCCCCTTCCCAGGCGCCCCCTCACCCTCGCCCTGTGCCCTGCTCCTTCTCCTCCCCTCTCCTCCCGGCCCAGCCGTCCAGTCCCGGGCAGAGGGCAGGAAACTCAGCTCCGCCGCCTGGGGAGCCGCTGTCTTGGAGGCGAGGGTGGCAGCGCCCGCCCTGTCTCACCCGCCCCCACGGACCCCGCGGGGGCCAGACCCTCACTTCGCTGGGTCGCCAGGCACCCGGCACCCCTTGCCCGAGGAAGGCGGGCCCACGCGGGCGGGAGCTGGGCGAGGCGGCCGGGCGGCTCCTCCCCTGGGGCTCGGCCCTAACTGGGGGCTCCCAGGATGACTTTCCCGGGGACGGACGGCCGCACCGCCTCCTCCCCTGGCCGAGGACCTCTGCCATCCGGAGCCACAAAGACACATTCTTGCACACGGGCGCGCGCGCGCGCACCCACACGCACACCCACACCCACACGCAGCCAGAGACAAACTTAAGGTGAGCAGCAGGCGCGCGGGCTTCACTCCGTCCCCAGCCTCCCGCTGCAGAGGACCAGGGGATCTGAGCCTCGGGCTTCCAGGACCAGGTAAAACCTGCCTGTACTTTCTCTTCCTCTCTGGGCCAGGCTTGTGGACTAGGAATTCAGGCCGCAGAGCAGACAGTAACAAGTTTCTTCAGCTCTTTCGTTCGCACTGGGCTTCCATGGGACTCCCCAGCATTTTTAAGGTTCACATTCAAACGAAATACTCCTGCAGCCAACTAGGCTTGATCAATCTGGAAGCGGGGAAAGCGTTCACTCTACTTTTCTGCTCTGGACGGCTTGCGGGCTCAAGGGTGGTCTCCATGTGTGCTTCACCAAGCACCTGAGGTGAAAAAGAGACTCTTGGTATCAGTTCCAGGCAAGGCTGGCAAGCGGAGATGCCCACTTAGCTCAGGGCTGGGCCTCAGGGAATATCAAAACTTACACGGAAAAGAAGTCCCTTGCCTCCGAGGTGGTGCCTGCTAGCTTAACAAGCTTTGATGCACTATTGTGGTGTAGGCTTTTCTGTTTAATATAAAATTCAGAACAGTTATGACGCATTTTATACATAGAATGGTGTGTTGAAAAATCTTTACAGTGATAGTCCTTAAGATTACTTGTCGAAGTTGTTGGAAGGATTTATTTGAATAGTGAAACTGCTCAGCACTGAAAGCCAATTGGAACGGTTTGGAGATTGGCATAATTTGTCTCTTTCCATTGGATGTGGATGGTGTGTTCGAAATAAGACGGTTTATTATTTGGAAAATAAGTTGTTTTATTTTCATTTATCACTGGAAAAATACACCAAGTGCCCAGTCCACTTGGGAGTTTTCAGGGTGGGAAGCCTTCTGGTGCATGTTCCACTGTGACGTCATGAAGTCAAACAAGTCCTGCCCGCCAAGGGCTCTGAAGAAATGAACCCTGTGAATTAATTTCTAACTGAATGAAGTAGTTATTTGTTGCAAATGTAGCTTCTGGTAACCATTTCTATTTGATGATTTCCGGGTCTTAAATTTGAAGTAATGCTATGCACATTTTAGTGACTTCAATATTTTAACGGAACCATAAAGTCCAAGTAGCGTCAGCCCAGAACACATTGCTATGGTTGTCTCTGGGAAGCTTGCAGCATGGCTTTCCTTAATCCTGACATCGGCTCTCAACTTCAGATCCACTTATATATGTGAAAGAGAAAATATTTTTCCTCCAGTTCAGTAACGGATGCCAAGGGACGACTGAACATTTAAACTTTAGTCCTTAGCCTTAAACTTTCAGTTGCTTCAGCTAAATGAATGAGCTGCAGGGTCCTGTCTTTCCCTTTTGGTGATATCCACACTGCACTGTAAGTGGCTTACAGACAGGAGAACGAGGTGAGAACTGCTTTTGCTGAGAGTTAACTGAACAAGAGAAAACCAACCATCTCAAGGGTTGGTTGGGGCCAGGCAATGTCCCCGGGGCCAGGATTCTGAGTGGGTGCCCAGGAGTGCCCCGTGGGTCTGTGCTTTCAAGGAGAAGCTAAGAGGGGAAGAGTATGTTCTTATAAAGGGACCCATTTATTTTTCAAGCAGGCCCTGTCTCTCTCAGAGGAATGGCCGACACTGAAATTTAGAGGGACTGGGGAAACTTTTGCAGAGAAGAATCAATTAATTATATGCCAGTGGTTTCATTTCATTTTCCTTGCTTTGGGAGCAAGTAACTCATCCAGGATAAATACATGTGGCGTGTGTAGAAGGATAATTTGTCAGCAGCCCATCCTCAAACAGTCCTGCCTTTCAGCATCTTGGGTGTGGAACTGTGGTCTTTCTGAGCAGCTGAAGCAGCCTTTTGAGCCATAAGGTGGCCTTGGAGTTCATCTCTCCAAGATGAACAAGACCATATTCAGAAAATGAGGCCTGTCTTAGGAACACACTAGTTTCCCTTTCCTTTTGCCCCGTGTGTATTCCCCCCAACCCCCACTACCTTTCAAGGTTAACGGTATCCCACCAAATAGAATTGCAACAGAATGCAAGGCAAATTTGAAACTAACTTTTATATTATGGTCTTCTGTTGCTTCTCATTAATTCTCCGACATCCTGCAGTCAGGATTGCTAACCACAGTACTTAGTGTCTGCCCTTTGAACAGACCTAGCCTGCTGTGTGAAGGCAGCAAAATATTGTTGGGAGAAGCAGGGAGAAACGGGAACCTGGATGTTCAGGATTTTAATCAATAGTGTTTAAGGAGGATTAGAGGAAACAGCTGGTTAAACAAATATTAGGTGTAGAGAGGACGCCATGGTATAAATTAATAAAGCAGCTCTTCATTTACACTGTGAATGAGATTTGTGGCGGGTAAATGTGTGAAGTGTGATCTCCGGTCGCCCTCTCGTGGACGAGTTAAAGAATGCTTTCTCACCAGCCTCAAAAAACTGGACTTTTCATTTCACTGACCGCTGAATGCCAGGAGTTGAGGTACGGGCTCAGAGGACAGGCTAAAGCAAGCGACTGTTAGAGTTTAGGCCTCGAGGCATCACCCACTCTATTAAACGCGTCACAGCTGCATTTTGAATGGATTTACTCTTCACTGGGTAATTTGCTGACAGCTTCCTGCCTCCTTGAGAAGGTGGGCTCCGCCACAGCTGAGTTCTGACCGAAGATTGTTGTTCAAAGGCGTCATGCTGAGGCTCGAGAGCTTGACTGTCTGGAATCCCGTGTCTCAGAAGGGAATAAATTGCCGTATTACTTAGTTTAATTGGGTAAATGGCTGCTAATTCAAAAAGTTAGTACACTGGAACTAGAGCATTTTATTACATTTGCTTTCTGTTTTTCATTAAATGCAAAAGAATAATAGTAAAAATCGCTCTTAGGTAGTGGCATATAGTTTCTAAGGTATTACTCTTAATCAATAATTAGAATGTGGGATAATCTCATCTATGCTTATCTGTATACAATTTTAAAGCAAGAAAATTACTTTGATACAGTTGATAATATAAAGAAAAAAAAATCCTCGACAACGACAGTTACACAGAAAACCACTGAAGTATTGAGCTGTCACAGAATGTGAGTTCCTCTGAATGCTGCCATTTCGAAAACTTTTCTCTAGGAAACATATGAATGATTACTTCAACTGGCTTCTTTTAAGATCTAGGACTTAATAGCAGTAGTGTTCAGCACATCCGCTGTTAATCAAGACAAGTGGCGAAATGCAAATTGGAAGGTAAAATGTCTCAGTAGGAAACAGGGACCAATCGGTCCCTTGCTGAGCTCCCGGGGTGTGGTCCACAGGTGCCGCCAGGCGGGCTGTTGCTCGGTAGAAGGCGCCTGGCTCCAGGGATTCCTTGGCTTTGGTATGGCAGGAGTACCAGCTGCCAAACAGTTTCTCACTTAGTCCTTTTTTCATGAATACCACAAAATGATAGCCTGCATTGGTCAGTGGAGATGGACAGACGCAACGCCATCAGGCGTGTGAGATAAAGCACGTTCTCTTGGTACTCATCTCCAATGCACCGTTGGCCAACAGAAGAAATTATCTTAATAATTTCATCAGATCATCGGTGAGATTTAGAGTGAATCTCATAGCCACTGAAGAGCAGGGACAGATTGCCTAAAAGTCAGAGGCCTTGAAGAGGCCTGTAATCGGGGCTTATAAAACTTGATACAAGTTTTAATGATTGCGGATGATGCAGCAAAACTAGCCAAGGATAAACTTTAACTGACTGAACTGAGAGAACCCGCTTCATGGCTGACGGCCGGAGTTCTCACTTATAACTCTATGTGATGGCTTCATCCACGGATGGGAACGTGAGTGGAATTGCTGGATTTACGATTCCCAGCTGTGTTTCTTAAAGAAAGCCGGGATTTTGTAGTTAGCAGGGGGGATAACTGAGAAAGAGGCGCTGCTAGAAGACCATGAGGTCACTGACGAAACAGAAACAAAACTCTCCCTAGCAAGAGTAACAGCGTGACAGCAGGCCCCGCGTCTTGTCAGGAGGGACGCTTCCCCTCTGCCAAGCCTGAATACCCAAGAAGGGCGCCAGTGACTCCTCGGTTGTAACTGAACTCCTACTGTGACCCAAGGAAAGTAAGTAAGAATGTCCACAAAGCCTTAGAGAAAATGTCTCTGTTCAGTCTCCATCCAAGCTCTATGACTCTTTCTCCCTGTGAATATTGCTCTGAATTTTGAGAAGTCACCTCGCTGGATCGTTCATGTCTTTATTTGGTGCAAATGTGCCGAGCAATGGCCATTTGCCAGGCCCTGTGCAAGCATTAGGTGCCGGGCTCAGCCTCACTTAATGCTAGAGAGATCCACCCCCAGATGAACAGAAAGCCAGTGGCCTTGGTGATAAACTCAAACTGCTGCAAGACCCTGAAGAGCACTTTGAAGGACGTGACAGCCAGAGCAGGGTCGCTCACCACTTCAGCTCTGACAGAACTCTGAGCGTGCGCCTTCAAACATCGTCTTCCTGGACGGCCGGTGGTCTCTGGCTCTCACAGGCAATTCCGTCTGTGAGGGTGGGTGGAGGAGGCGAAAATGCCTTTGTGCGCAGCCATCCTCCAGGCTCAACAGCTGACCTCACACTGAGAAGCTGACTCAGTGCCTGCCGTCCAGCAGGGAGCCACCACCCCAGGCTGGCATCTTAATTGCCTCACCGAGTTCTCAGGTTGGTGTAGGAGCCAGACAGGCACACACCGGGAACCACCAGCAAATTTGCCAAGTAGGTGAGATTCGCCTCCTAGTCCCCTGGGTCTCTTTCCTTAGCACCTTATCTAAATTTTCCAGCCCCCTCGAACTCATAAATCAAGACTCTATACTACACCCCTGTACTCCCAAGAGAACCTGACACTTCCCTAGTTTATTGATTTCTTAACCACACTTAAGTGTGAATGAGTTTTATTCCTGTGTATACATTTCAAGTCTTTTATCTCTTAAAAAAATGTTTTGTTTTCTGTAAAAAGAATTCAAAACATCTGGAGGCTTTCCCATCCTGACTCTAAAGGGTATAATGCAGCCTAGTTAAATCCTCTACGGTCTTCAGGTCTTCAGTCTCTGTTGTCCCTGTCCCTTACGTGATGACAGAAGGATCCCATAAGGC